AGAGTTTTCCCTTAGCGGAAGTCACATCCAACCTCCAGAATTCCACTTAGGCACGCCGACAGGCCATGGTGGGTGGGTCTAGGTAGGTCTTCACACTTCAGTAGACTCTCCACAAAGTCCTTAATCAGCTCTGATACCACTTGTTAAAGACTAAGGACAGAGTCTATGAAGATTATGTTCCTTAATCGGCATCTTCCACCTCCGCCTCCTCGGTCGGCAGCCCTTGCTCTCCACCTGCTTCTACCGCATCCCGCTCCTGCATCACCTTCGGCGTTATGTCCTCCTGCTCGCCCTCTTCGGGAGCGTCGCGGTGGTCATCTGCTCCGCGTCCCTTGGGCCGTCCCTCAAATCCCCGCCAACGCCCTCGCTCGTCGCGGCGCCGCCCACGATCTTCCGGCGAGTGAAACGCCCCTACGTCGCGGTGATTTCCGCCGCCCACGCCGGTCCCACGGGCGCTCTTGCGTAGCCATTCGTTTCGCTCTGTGGCTACGGTCTGCCCGCCCCTACCCGCTCTCACATCTTCTGCTCCTTCCCCTCGACGATCCCTCTCCGGGGGGACCCGGTCCGCCCGGAAAGCCGGTCGGCGTGGCGATCGTTCCCAGGATCGCCCTCGTTCCCGCGATGGTTCGCGTCGCGGCTGCTCTTCCTCGCGTCTACTGTAAGCCCTTCCCCAGCGCAATTCATACTTGTCCGTATTCGCCTACACTGCGAAGTCTCTACACGTCACGGGCCTTTCTCGTTGTTATGAATGAGCCTCGTCCTTCATCCCGTAGTTCCCTCTCAGTGTTGGGCTGTAGAGTGCTAGAGCGTGAAACAGCTACTTCCACTAGTTCGAGAGAATAACAACGAGAAAGTATCGATGGGTTGGAGGTGAGTGACCTTACCCCACCCCTGGCTGCACATTTCCAAATGTACGGCTCGGGGTTGGGGTTCATTGGTTTCACATTTCGCCCTTCGGAGTCTTTCCCCCTTTTCATCTCAACCGCTCTTATCCTGTTTCCCCCCTTCTACACCCTCGCTCCTAACAGTAACTTCGCTACATCCTACACCTATTACTTTTATTCTTATTCCTATCTCATCTTCCTATGGACTTAGTATGAAACCCACACTATACTATCATTCTACTGTTATTGCATATGCATTAAGTGCATATGCGGTGACAACGCACGAACACACGATGGGAGGCAAACAGACGTGAATGCATATGATTGCATCACACAACATTAAAGAGCAATGATGGACATTGCAACAATTTAATCTACATGCCTTACAAGATTGAAAGACGAGAAAGATTGCCCATTGTTGGAGGGAATTGGCCAGTGAGATTGTTTCCACTTACAACACTGCAATGGAAATGTTAGATGATGTGTGCACCATCAATCTTATCAGGAATGCTTTCACACCATCAATCTTATCAGCAATGCTTTGACTGACCAACCATCATTTGATTGTTCCCACTTACATCACTGCAATGGAAATGTCGGATCCATCTCTCATATAAAAGGTTTCAAGGGGAGTGGCATGATATCTTAGTTATGGAGAAAATGCATGTTGTAAAAATACGATACTAGAGCTGGTTGGATATTTGTTTAGGCCTAGCTGTCACTCTAGAGGGCGTCTCAATAGATTGACCTTGTGGAGGAAAGGTAGTCAGCTGTTAGCGTTGGGGACAAGACATTCCTTAAGAGGAAGGTGAGCTCACAATTGGGATTGACCAATTGTGAGGGACAGCTTAGAAATTTTTCTACATACAATTTGGGTGAGAGAATTCTCCATCGCTAGCCACTGCTGGTCATCATCATCCTCGTGCAATGCACATCTCCCTACCCAGCCATGTGTTCACACCACAATCCAACGTATTTCCTCGCTTGATCATGTTGGCAGAGAAGTAGATGGCAAGTTTCCTCGCAGGGGCTTGGCCACATGAATGGCAGTGGCAACTGTCATGCGTACTCGCACCCAGATTGTAAGTCATGCCCTGCTGACACCATCGTTGTCCGTGTCTTCGGTGATTTGCACCACTAGTGAGTGCTTTGTCGTTCCCCATCGCAGAGGAAAGCTCTCTCACCACGTCACCATGGGCGAGGGGGAGAGATCTCTCTCGCATCTGATCTGGCGGACTATGACAAGCCATGCCTGCCAGAACTTGAGCTTAGAATCGATACTATAGTAGTGAGCTCAAAGCTCTTAAAGCACATCCGGAATGAGCAAGGTATGGATGAGGAGGGAATCAGGAGGCAATCCTAGGGAATCAAGGGTAATCCCAAGGCAATCTCCAATTGGTGGGTTGGAGATTGCTTGGAGATTACATTTGGGTTTGGTTGGGATGTGGGTGTACACCCAACCAAACACAAAAGTGCAAACTACACTAAACTAGGATATAAAAGTACAAGTCCAAAATGTGAAATTGGGGCCTAACACCAACACCCCCCCTGAGGCGTCAATCGAACTCATGGCGGAGAAGGAGGAGCGCAGAGCCCCATGGCGCCAAGGAGACGATGGTGGGGAACCTTCCCAAGGGGCTTGGTGAACAGGTCAGCCAGGTTGCAGTCAGATGCCACGTATTCCACCTTCAGCTGCTCTTGTTGCACAAGGTGACGAATGAAGAAGTGCCGAAGTTCAATATGCTTGGTGCGGGTGTGATACACAGGGTCTTGAGAGATGTGGATGGTACTCTAGTTGTCACACCAGAGGGTGAGGGCTGACTGAGGGAAGCCAAGCTCCTGGAGTAGGAAGGTGAGCCAACGGGCCTCCTGAGCAGCCATGGTGCCTGCGTAGAGCTGCGCCTCACAGGAGGAGAGGGAGACTGCAGACGACCTGGTGGAGCGCCAACTGACAGTTCCGCTCCCGAGGGTGAAGCAGTACCCCTGAGAGGAGCGTCGGTCGGTCTGGTCATCAGCCCAGGAGGAGTCTGTGTAACCTTCCAGGTGAGGAGGGGAGAGCCCACCGAGTGTGAGAACGTGGGACTTTGTGCCCTTAAGATAGCGCAACACCCGCTTTGCTGCCTTCCAATGAAGATTAGTGAAGCGACCCGGGGCCACGTAACGAGAGAGAACACTGATTGGGTAGGCCAAGTCCGGTCGGATGCACATCATGGCGTACATGAGGGACCCAACAAGTTCCGGGTATGGCTCAGAGCAGGCCTCTGGTGTGGGTACAGCAGGAGCTGTAAGGAGGTGTTGCAGCGGCAGCGGGGCGGCAACAGGTGTGCACAGCTCCATCTCAAACCGCTTGAGCACATTGTCGATGTAGAACTCCTGGGAGAGTGAGATGGTGCGAGCCTTGCGATCACGAGTGATCTCCATTCCCAGGTAGTGCTTGAGGTCACCGAGGTCTTTCATCTGGAGGGCCTTGCTCAGGGCTACCTGGATTGAGGTCATTTGGGCCGAGTCCTTGGCAACGAGGATAAAATCATCCACGTAGACTAGGATGTAGAATGGCTCAGAATGACGACGGATGAAGAGAGTCGGGTCAGCAGTTGAGGGGTGGAAGTCCAGGGAGAGGAGGACTTCTTTCACCTTGTTGTGCCATTCGCGAGGGGCTTGTTTAAGGCCGTAGACGGGGCGATTCAGCTTCCAGACAGTGTTGGGAGGGAATTCTCCTGGGAAGCCTTCTGGTCTGTCCATGAACACTGTCTCCTTGAGACGTTCTTGTAGGAAGGCGGAGGAGGCATCCATGGATTTGATCTCAAAGTCTTCTCGAGCTGCAACATCCATGAGCGTTCGAATGGTGGGAGGTTTGGATGTGGGGGAGAAGATTAGGTCGAAGTCGCGGTACCGCTGCTGGGTGAAGCCCTTGGCTACGTAACGCGCTTTGAACACCGGTGTCTCGTCTGGGAGCTGTTTTACACGGAACAACCACTTGCCCCCGACGATGTTGACTCCTGGAGGTGGAGTCTCGTCGTCGAAGGAGTGGTTGCGAGTGAATGCTGCAATCTCCGCGTCCATGGCAGCACGCCATTCGGCAGCATGAGGGCCTGAGAGAGCCTCTTGGACGGTGAGAGGGATAGGGATGGTCGGGTTCTCCGCGAGGTTGAGGGAGGGTGAGCCAGTGATATCGGGGAAGATGTGTGAGAGCTGAGGAATGACTGCATGGAGATCACACAGCTCCTCATGCCTGTCTTCTAGAAGGGTAGAGGGCACATGCCCCCTAGCAGGAGGAGGGTGACTTAGGAGAGGGTGACTTAGGAGGCTTGGGTGGGGGAATGGGCCGCCGGCGGTACGTGATCAGCTCGGGCGACTGTGGGAGAGCGGGTTCCTCTGTGGTGGGGGGAACTGGGGAAGGAGGTGGGGCCGGAGGGTGGGACCGCCGATGGTAGGTGATAGGTGCGCTTAGGGATGAGCAAAATGCCGAACGTTCGAGGCGAACCGAACAGGCTTTTTTTTTTGGCCAATTCGTTCGGGCCGAACATGTTCGAGGTTCGGCCGAACATGTTCGGCGTTCGACTTTGGAGTTGGCCTCTCCAAGCCGAACACGAGCATGTTCGTGTTCGGCTTGGCTTCGACGCGAACACCAAAAGTGTTCGCGTCAAAATTGGCCGCGACCAGATTTAGGTCGCGGCCAATTTGAGTTTGAGCTCATTTCGTGAGCTCAAACTCAGAAGTTGTTTAGCCGCTTTAGTGCTCCCTCACACAGCCGCCCTAGCCTCCTTTTTCTAAGTGCAAGCAAGTGCACGTTAATAATTGGAGTGTAAACGAACTCACATTAGGTTAGATAGAAGAACTAAGCATAGGGTTTAACATTGTGTAGGGAGTTTATGTTTTCTAGGGAGGGAAAGCGAGCATCTCCCGGGAAGGGCTCAAGTAGGGCGTACCATTCGCTCTAGGATTCGGATCGGGCATTAGGGACGTGCGGTGCGGCACCATCCAACGCTCACGTTGCCTTAGGGGGTTTTAGGGTTTAGGGTCGAGGGTGGAGTGATGGCGTCCAGGGGTGGTGGATCCATAGGCCGAGGTGCAGGCAGGGCTCAGGGCAGCGCATCGGGATCTCCACCACGACCTATGCAGGGGCGAGTAGGGGATGGACCGGGTGGAGCCGGCGCGATCTTCGTTGGGGGGTTGCTTACCGTACCGGCGCCGACCTCTCGTCGCTCTTTCCGTTACGACGGCCCTCGGCCCCCTCCTTCGGGGCAGACGCCGACACAGCCGGAGAGCGGCAGTGAGGAGGAGGATGAGGAGGAGGATGGTGAGGGCGAGAAGGAGGAGAACACTGAGGGGAGCGGGGATGACAGCGAGGCGGCGTGGGACCCAGAGACGCATGGCGGTGGGGAGGGGGGAGATGATGATGATGAAGACCACGAGATGGATGGGTTGGAGCCAGAGGGGCGGGCGGAGGAGGTGGGAGAGGGTGGTGGAAGGGCGGCGACAGAGGCGGGATCACAGCATGTGCGTGAAGGGGGAGGGAGCGTGGGGGTTAAGGTGGGAGGGGGAAAGGCCGTAACCATCAGGGAGCCGAAGCAGAGGAAGAAAGCGAACAAGTTGAGAGAGCGGGCGTATCCCTGCACGTTCACTGGGGAGCCCTTGGGCGAGGGTGTGATCGCTCCCGAGTTCCTAGACGAGGACGGAGGGTCCGAGAGTAGTAAGGGGACTAGCAAGGGTAATAGGAGGTCGGGGTGGCAAGTTATGATGTTCGGACCGTTAGGGGCAGACGATAAGCGTCAGTGCAAGATTTGCACAGACAGGATTTCGTGGAAGCAATCCACAACAACCCAGGGCGAGCGGCACTTTGCGAGCTTCCACACTGCGCACATGCATGTGTGGCATCACCGTTACCACACCCCGTCGGTTCACTTGCCTGGGGAGACGTTTCCCCGAGGGGGCTACAAGGGAGTGCCGGATGGCTACGTCTATCAGTGGCCACATGCCAAGACTTGGCCGCAGCTCGCCAAGGGGAAAGCGATGGCAACTGGTGGAGGTGATGGGTCAGGAGGGATCGAGCGGTGGATGACAGCAAAACCGACCTCGGTGCAGCTACGGCAGGCGATCACGAAGCTGGTGGTCACCTGCGACCTCCCCTTCCGCATCGTCGAGGCCGAGGCTGTAAGTGCCCCATCCCATCCCATGCTTGATTGGGCAAGTATGCGGTTAGTGGACGTGTCTGTCACTTTGTGTTTTGACTATTTGCGTGTGGCCCAGTGCAGTGCTATATTACCTTTATCGCATCCCCCTGACGTGTACTACCCTCTCCCCCTTGTCTCTTCCCCTCTCCAGTTTCGTGAGCTACTCATCCTGTTGAACCGCAACTGTGCGCAAAAAAACTTCATCCCCTCGCGCTGGACAGTTTCCCGCGACACAGTGGTCTATGCGGCTGCTGCTCTTCAGTCAGCCATCGCGGAGATGCTGGCGAAGGAGGGGGAGCTGGGGTGCAGGGTGTCGTTCACCATCGACATGTGGACGTCACCCAACAACAGGGCGTGGCTGGTGGTAACGGGTCACTGGATCGACGAGGGTTACCAGCTGCGCACAATGGTGTTTGAATTCCGGGAAATTCACGGGCGGCACACGGGCAAGCAGATGGAGAGGGTGGTTGAGGACACGGTGGTGCAGTGGGGGTTGGAGACGCGTTGTCTTGGGTTCACCTCAGACAACGCCTCTAGCAACACTGCCGCTTTCAGGTGGATGCCGGAGGAGGGTGGTGGCCAGTGCTTCTTCAACTCGCGCATGCACTTCCGGTACGAAAGGGAGTGTTCCTGTGATGTGAACATGTTGTGGTTGTAGTACAGGCGGGTGGGCCAATGTGTTGTGTACTCACACTTCCCTTTCTCTCGGCCATGAATGTTTTGTGACGTGCGCAGATGCCTGGCACACGTGATCAACCTTGCGGTGAAGGCGGCACTCGCTGTGACCGCCATCCGCAAGTTGCTGAAGATTCTGAGAGAGATGGCGTCGTGGATAGGATACTCGCCGCAGCGCTCGGGGAAGTTCTTGGGCCTTCAGCGGACTCTGAACGCGCAGGGCAACCTCGCCAAACCGAAGCCAGCGTTGAAGCTGGTGCAGGACAGTCCCACACGCTGGGGGTCGACACACGACATGGTCGAGCGAGCCAGGGTTCTGCAGGAACCCATCTCTGTCTACTTTGCCCAGACACAGGTGTGTGTGTGCGCCAGGTGTTGTGTATGCTGTTTTATGTGTTGGTATGTCGGTCGGCGTGTATTCTTCCGGCCCTTGCACCACTGTTGGCCATGCTTGACTCAACTTTCCGGACCTCCAACAACCTCAACCACCCCACTTTCCATTCTATCCGTCGCCCACCCATACGTTCTACCCGACAGGGCGTGTCGAAGGCTGACAAGGCGAAGATGGACACCTTGCGCCTGACGGACGCAGACTGGGACACTCTGCATTCTGTCAAGACCTTCCTCAGCCCATTCGCCAAAGTCTCCAAGGCCGCAGAGGGAGCGGCGTACCCTACAGTGTCGATGGTCCTGCCGTACTACAACGGCTTGATCGACGCTATGGAGTGGTGCCTGGCCAAGGGGCCATCGGCTACGCTGAAGCCGATGATTGAGGCGGCGCTGGGTCTCTTGAAGAAGTATGAGTTGATGTCAAGCAATGAGCTGTGGATCGCCACCTTCCTGGACCCGTCCATGAAGGCGGCGTGGTTCGACGACGCGCACTGGGAGACGCTGCATCCCGACACAGAGCGGAGGGCGAGGCCTCGTCCCTCGTCAGGCGAGGTGATCCAGCTGGTTCGCGAACGCGTGGCCGAGTACCAGGCCCGGGCTGCAGCGATTGCCTCTCAGTCGACCCCACTTGCCCCAGTGACGGAAAAGGAGGGAGAGGAGGCGGATGACGACGAGGACGCCGAGTTTCTCCCTAGTCGCCGACGCCTTGCGGCGCGTCTGTCGGCGAGCCAGGAGGCGGGGAGGGGTGGGATGGTGCAGGATGACGAGGTTGGCAGGTACTTGTCAGAGAGGGTGCGGTGCGACGTGTCAGCGTTGGAGTATTGGCGCAGTGCCACCAACATGCAGACGCTGAGGCGCATAGCCCGGGATTATCTTGCCATCCCTGCCACGTCCGCGTCGAGCGAACGCGTCTTCTCCCTCGGCCGCAACCTCATATCCTGGAAGCGGCACCGCCTAGCCTCTCAGAGGACGCGAGCTTCCATGATTCTCAGATCATGGTACACCTCACACCCTGGACAGAGGATAGGCGAGGGCCACCGTGCCAAGGGCGAGGCACCACCAGAGTTCGCCATTGAAGGCGAGGGGGAGGAGGAGGACGACGAGTGGGAGGAGGAGGAGGGGGAGGAGGAGCAGGTGGGGGTGGGTGCTGGCGACACCTCAGACGCGGAGCATGCTGTTGTTGGTAGTAGCAGTGGTGTGCATGCGTAGGATAGGAGATAATTTAGCAGTGACTTGACTTTTATATAAGCACTACATGATGGTGTCGTATGCTAGTGTGCGTTGCATGATTATATACACACCCTCCACCCCCCTATCTATCTTCCCAACCCTCCAGGTTCCGTATTAAGCTGTTGTGACTATAATGAAAGTGGCCCTGGGCGAACTCGAACATGTTCGGGTCGAACATGTTCGAGTTCGCCCACACATAACAAATGTTCGCCCCCAAGGGCGAACGGCGAACATGTCCGTTCGGCGAAAGTTGTTGTTCGGGTGAACTCGAACCCAAACGTGTTCGAGTTCGCCATTTGCTCATCCCTAGGTGCGCTCGGAGGGGGCGGTGCAGCGGGAAGTGAGGAAGGTGAGGGGGGGGGCGGAGCAGCTGCCGAAGACACCGGTGAGGCCGGGTCAGAGACCTCAGAGGGAGATGGTGGGATGGCAGGAGAGGAAGGAGGTGAGGGGGCAGGAGCAGGCGGGAGGTCGGGAGGCGCGTCAAAGTCTGCCCACACGAGGGAGGGTGGATCAGGGAGAGGGTCCCGTCCTGAAGGGGAGTAGAATGGGCGGGTCTCATCAAAGACAACGTCGCGGCTCCTGACCAACTGTTGAGTGGAGGGATTGAGGAAGAGGTAGTTAGGTGATTCGGCGTTGTGCCCAAAGTAGGTGCACGTTTGAGTCTTGGGACCGAGCTTGCCACCGTTCTGGCGTCGAGCCTGAGGGTTGAGGAGGACATAGGCGGTGCATCCCCAAACGCGAAGAGAGCGAGCAGTGGGCGTTTTCCCAAGCCAGAGTGTGGTTGGAGTGGTGTCGAGAAGGTGCGGATGGGGGTAAAGGTTGTAGAGGAGGGCGGCGTGGTAGAGAGCGTATCCCCAGAGAGAGTGTGGAGCGTTGGAGTGGCTGAGGAGGCACCGAGTGATCTGCACTAGGGTGTGGTTGCGGCTCTCAGCTATGCCGTTCTGTTGAGGGCTGTCAGGGAGGGTGAAGTTTTGCTGGATGCCTTCGGAGGAGCAGAAGGCTTTGAGCTTGTCGTTGCAAAATTCACCCCCCCCATCCGAGTGAAGGCGCTTGACCTTGCGGTCAAAGGTGGTCTGTGCCTGCTTGACCCACGCCATGATGACCTCTGGAGCCTCAGCCTTAGTGTGGAGGAGGTGAACAGAGACGTATCGTGAGTGGTCATCCACGATAACTAGGAAGTAGCGATATCCACCTCATGCAAGAACAGGGGCAGGGCCCCAGACGTCCATGTGCACTAGGTCCAGTGGTGCCGCTGCGATTGTGGGTGAGGCAGTGTGGGGCTGTTGGCGCAGTTTGCTCTTGGTGCAATCAAGGCACGTGGGAGCGGGTGAGTCAGGTGGTGGAGGAAGTGTGGCTGGCAGGCCGAGAAGAAGTTTCTTGGAGGCCATGTCAGCAAGCGTGCGGAAGTTTGGGTGCCCTAACCGATGATGATAGAGGATGGTCGGGTTGGAGAGGCTGCGACATGTGCATGGTGTGATGGGAGCCTGTGCTTGGGTGGTTGAAACCTGTGGGAGAGGAACGCGTAGCGTGTAGAGGCCGCTGCTATTGAGGGTGAAGCGGGCCAAGGCCTTGTTGGTGAGTGGGTCAATGATGTCGCAGTGGTCCTCATTCTCCGAGAAGATGGTGCGTAGCCCTGCTTTCTGAATTTCTGTTTGAGCCACTAGATTGTGGCGTAGTGAAGGCACGCACATGCCAGTGACGGTGCCGGAAGGGAAGGCTGGGCATGGGACTGTGGAGGTGCCCTTGGCTAGGGTGGTGAAGCTGGAGTCAGCTCCCAAGAGAGGGATAGGTGCTGGATAGGGTTTGAAGGAGAGTGTCTCCTTGAGCACAGTGTGAGTGGCCCCGCTGTCGAGTGTGAACTCTATGTACTGTGGTGCCTGTGATGAGTCGATGTACTGGGAAGTGGCTTCATTAATCATGGCAGTGCCAGGAAACAACAGGTTGATACGCACATCAACACGAGCACTATCATTAGCACTAGCCGAAGAGTGGTCCTGGACCACAACGAGATTGGCCTTACGAGCGCGCATCCAGTTTGGCGGCTTCTTGTCAACCCCGTGGATGGCATACCACTCGTCGTCTTTCTTCTTGAAGCACGTGGCAAGGGGGTGGTTAGTGCCACCACACACTTGTCCCTTGCGGTTGCCATACTTGACGACGTAGGTGCACGGAGGAAAGCGGTTGCGCTGGAAAGGCGCCGAGGCAAAGGCCGCTGCAACACTTGCTGGGGGCATGGGAGCACGGATGGCGTATGCCTTGGCCTGAGCCGTGGAGTCTTTCTCGGCAGAGAGGAGTGCGGTGGAGACCTTAGCAAAGGTGAGGTCTTCCGCTGAGAGCGTGAGGAGCATCTTCCTCGTGACTTCATATGCCGAGGAGAGACCAACAAGAAGGGCGGCTGCAGGGGCTTGTTCGGGGAAGACTATACCCAGCTCCTTGAGTTCACCATGAATGGTCTGCACCTTGGCGATGTAGTCAGCCATTCCTGAGCAGTCCTCAAGACGGACTTGAAACATGCTGGGGATGAGAATCGCCACTCCGACGGCCGTCTTGTTCATGAACCGATCCTGGAGATACTTCCAGATGGCGTTGGAGGTAGGGTAGTTGTGGAACGTGTTGACAAGTTCGAGAGGGGTGGAGGCAATGAAGACGCTGATGACGGCAGCATCGGCCTTCTCCCACTTCCGGTACTTCTCAACAGCTTCTTCGTACGCCATCACGTCAGCATCACTTGAAGATTCGGTCGGTTCACGGGGAAGAGTGGGCTGTTTCCCCTTGCCACGGTTGAGGAGGACGTCCTTGAGGTCAAGGCCCTGCACGTCACGGCTTAGGAGGTGCTTGTCAACTCCGTAGCTCCACGCCTTGAAGTTGGAGCTAGAGCCACCGGCTTCAAGGCGGAGCGTGGTGATGGGGTTCGCCATGGTGGAAGATGAGAAAGCCATGGTGGAGACCCCTTAACTTCTCGCGAGGAGTGCCGCTCTTAAGTCACCGATAGGAACTTGAGGTTTGGGGTTTCCAAAGGAGATTTTGAAGAATCGGAGGTTTAGGGTTTACGAAAGAGAATATTGAGGTTTAGGGTTTCTGAAGGAGAATTTGACTGAGACGCCAATTTAGTGTCAACTACCTACTAATCCTATTCCCACACACCCCCCCACACACCACCCTCAGCTTCGCGGCTACGCTGCTGCTCGGCTTCGCGGCTACACGGCTGCTCGGCTTCGCGGCTACGCTGCTGCTCGGCTGCGTTGCTGCACCTATTCAGCTGCGGGAAAGAGGGGGGATGGGGGTAGGAGTGCAGATGCGGGGCGACGGGCGGCAGCCCGAAGATGACGCTGCGGGGCGACGGGCGGCGGCCCGACGAGAAGCTGCAGGGCGACGGGCGGCAGCCCGAAGAGAAGCTGCAGGGCGACGAGCGGCGGCCCGACGAGAAGCTGCAGGGCGACGGGCGGCGGCCCGACGAGGAGAAGAAGTGACGAGAGTGACGAATTGATGAAAACGAGTGTTAGGTTAGAGCGCCGACGATGCGCTTACCAGAGAAGTTTTCGTCGATGGTGACGGGAAGATGTGGCGGGAGAAATTCCGCCGATGAATGTCGCGAATCAACGGCGACGAGATTGGCGATGGCTTCCCCGAGGTTTGCGGGACAAGTATCCGCAGAGATGAGAGGATCACGATCCGCGTATGCGGTTGAGCTGCTCTGATACCATGCCAGAACTTGAGCTTAGAATCGATACTATAGTAGTGAGCTCAAAGCTCTTTAAGTACATCCGGAATGAGCAAGGTAGGGATGAGGAGGGAATCAGGAGGCAATCCTAGGGAATCAAGGGTAATCCCAAGGCAATCTCCAATTGGTGGGTTGGAGATTGCTTGGAGATTACATTTGGGTTTGGTTGGGATGTGGGTGTACACCCAACCAAACACAAAGTGCAAACTACACTAAACTAGGATATAAAAGTACAAGTACAAAATGTGAGATTGGGGCCTAACACCAACAATGCCTACTGGTCTCGGCTCACGTATGTCACACAAGCCAAATCAGCCGCCCACTTGGCTGGTCTGAGAGTCAGCTCATTGTGGACTGAAACAACCTTGATGTGACACACTAGATTTCTGCCATGATTAAGGGTGAATGGAACTTAAGCACACTCCCAGGCAAGGGCGTCATGAGCAAGGTTCAAAATTTCGGTTGGGGTAAAATACGCTCCGTTTCAAGCGCTCGTTTTTTACGCTGGTTTCTCAAAATTTCGGCCGTTTTTTTGTTGGAGATTTTTGTGCCAAAAAAAAAAAAACAGAAAGGGTTCATAGATGATTCCAGAACAGGGCAGCATACAAACGGTTTGTAACATGCTAAAATCTAGTCAGAAATGAGCAAACACAGTCAGGTCCCTCCTCCTTCCTCCTAACTACCTACTCCTACTCCTTCTACCCCCTCTTACCTTGTCCTTATCCTTCAGCCCCCTCCTCTGATCTAGTCCTTACCCTTCAGCCCCCTCCACTTATCGATAAGTTATCCTTCAGCCCCCCCCTCCTACTTAGTCCTAATCCTCCTCCTCTTCCTCATCCTCCTCGTCATCCTCCTCCTCCCCGCTTCTCCCGTCGTTACAATCCCACGCATTCACCCCCTTGTTCTTCCGCTTGGTTGGTTCATCCGGACCACTGTCATCATCACTGCTCCCATCCTCCGCCTCTTCTTCCTCTTCCTCACAAACCTTCTCCTTCCCCTTGCGGGACCCGCTGCCCTTGGAAGCACTCTTCTTCTTCTTCTTCTTCAGATTTGCGCGCTTCCTTTTAGTCACCCGCTTGCCAATGTTCCCGAAGGTGTCCCAGTCAATGGTACACGGCTCCCCCCCCCCGCCTCCTCCTCCTCATCCACCTCCGCCTCCACCGGAAGAGAAAGAAGCACGCTTGTGCTGCCCTGCTGCAGGGATTCATTGCTCAACTCGCTGTAGAGCTTAGCACGGGCCTCTGTTTTTTTGTCATAGGACTCCCGAGCTCGCCGGCCAAATGCCACGAATGCCACGTCCGTCATGGACGTGGCATTCAGCCGGTTGCGGTCTCGCCTTTGGACCCTTGCGAGAGCGGACCAGTACCGCTCGACCTCGGATGAAGTCACGGGCTGGGAGAGCAACATCACCGCAATCTTTTACAAAGCACGAACCTCACCCCCATACAGCGCCCACCACTCAGCCGCGGAGAGCCTCCCGCTCTCCACCAAGATGGTGGCAGCCCACCGCGCATCCACAGACCCCAACTTCCCCTCTCCCTTGTGAAAAGCGGCTAGTTGCACCACTAGCATCGTCCGCATCTCAACACTGCCCCCCCTTGCCTTAAACACCTCTTCAGCCCCCGCCCTCAGTTCCACATCCTCCCGAATCTCGCCTACGTACTGGTTCTTCGGGTTTAGAAGCCACCCCAAGGCGTGGAGGGGGTTGTGCAGCTGTCCGTCCCATCGGTTGGCTATGATAGCCTTAAACGCAGCCAGAAACGCGGCCTTCTCGTTTCCCGGAAGCAAACCGGTTTTCTTGGAGAGTTGGGCAGCTGCGCACGCGGTAAGAGCAACAAATTCATGGTGAGTAATAGCGTCGGAGTGGCTGGTGTAGGGTAGGGACAGAATCGTTGAACTAATTGATTCATATGTCTAATACATTGAACGTACCCGCCTTCGTTACCGCTTCGTTGGTCTTGACCGTAGCCTCAAGCATGAGGCCGTAGACGCTCCCCATCGCAAGGGACTGCCGGTCAACGATGCGTAGCACCTCGTAGATGGGCTTCATGAGGCCGAGAATGGCCGTGACGGAGTCCCAAAACGTCTCCTCCAAGAGGAGACCACGTATAGCCTGCCCCTCCTCCGTGTTCGCCACCGCTACACTTTTCCACTCCTCACTAATCACCATCTCCTTCAATGCCTTTTTAACCTCAAGGAAACGCTCGATCATGATCACTTGCGTTCCAAAACGAGTAGCACCAGGGCGGACAAGCGCTAGCTTGCTAAACAACTCACGGAAAAGTGTGACGGCCGAGGCACTCCCCTTGACCATCATCACAACCCGATGCACCTGGTTGAGGACCCTCTTCACCGCCTTGACCTTCCCCATATCGTGAAGCATGAGGTCCAAGACGTGGGCCGCACAATTGGTGAAGAAGACTTGCGGGTACTCGTCCTTGAGCAAGTTTGCCACGCGCTTGTTGTTAGCCGTGTTGTCCATGACGACTTGGACAACGTGGCTGTCCCCCACCTCGCAAATCGCATGTTGGATGAGCTTCGCGAGGTACTCTCCAGTTTTCTTCGCGGTTTTGGAGTCGACGCAGTCCACAATCACCGGCGCGGTGTCGTTTTGGGCGATGACGCAAATCATGCCCCGGCTTTTGAAGCACGTCCAACCGTCCATCGTGAGGGTGCATCCGCTTCTCGGCCAACTCTCTTTGATTGGCTTGATGAGCTCCTCCGTGTCGAGCTTCAACTTGACAAGAAGCGGGCCCGCCACCTTGTATGCCGAAGGTAAGGTGTAGGCCTTCCCGAATGCGGCGACTGCATCCACAAACGCTTGCATCGCCTTAGACGAAGACGTCCTAAACGCCAGGTCGTTTTCCGCCACAGCAGCCGCCCACAGGTAGTCCAAGCGTCCGCGCCCTATCACGTCGGCCATCTCCCAAATGTCCCGCTGCCGTGAGCGCCGGGGTAACTGCACCTCCATAGTGGACGTAGACTCTCCATTAGAGCCGTCTTCGAAGGACGAACGCTCCTCGACGGACGACGCTCGCAGCTGCTTCGCATAATCTGATTCGCAGATCGCTATGTTCTTATGCTTGGAGCTTGGAGTGCCTAAAAGGTGCTCCCCAATTCTAGTTGCGTTTGGGGTTACCGGCAAATGGCAGTGAAGGCACACGCAGCTAATAATTGTACCATCTTCCACCGTCTCTTTCCTAACGTGCAGCCAATAGCGTGACTGCGGTCGAACCATGGTGCAAGGCTTGGGGTGGCTAATCTGATAGAGAGAGTGCTGGAATAGCCTCAGTGGCTATGAGTTAAGAGGCCCTGGACAGAGCCTCTTTGTACTTCGGGAGCTGAAGTGCATTGTCGAGTTGAGGATGAGCAACTCACTTCGGAAGATTGGGCTTGGGCTGCTGTGATTGGTCGCGACTCTCGAGTGGCATACGCTTTGCGACACACCCTGCATGCGCGAAACATTTTCGCTTCTAACGCGAAAATTTGAAAAATTAACGAAGCGGGTAATGTCTTCGGTTCGCGATCGCGAAATGCTGCATTCGGGGCGACTCGACCATAGGCATGATCATTAGGCCCGACCCGACCCGACCCGACCCGACTTGGGCGGGCCAGCCGGGTTCCGGGTCGGGTCGGGTCGGGTCGAAACAGAAAAAAATCCAGGCCCGACCCGGGTATCGGGTGCCGGGTCAGGCGTGACCCGCCCCCGGGTCGGGTCGGGTAGGGGCCGGGTCGGGTCGGGTCGGGCCAGGACCCCATATGAAGTGTGTAGGGGTTTCCTCAGTACTGTCCAGTGTTGCAAAGATTGAATGTTTGTGTAATTTATTATTATATGAATGTCCTCCCATATGTAAACTAACTATTCAAACTTGCGTAAACTGTTACACGTGTTTGGAAAAATCCTACAAAGGCCTAAAAGCTAACGGAGTCAACTAGTAGTTCGACGCACAGGAATAAGAACCAATCAAGTTTTGGTCCGATCACGTTATCTGATGAAGTTAAGGGCATGAGCATCAATTACGAACAAATATCACAACCCCCTCGATTCATCCTCCACTCCCAGGGTGGGATTGGCCGTTGAGGTGCCCTTGGGAACGAGAGTCCCCGAAGGGTGGTGGTCCTGCCACGTCTTAATCAGCATAGAAGCACGCACTTGGCCAGCTGCCAGTCGGTGTCGCTGCCAAGTAATGATGTTCCTGCTCTGTGAGAATGCGCGCTCACTCGCTGCTGACGAAGCCGGTACCCCTAGATAATCTTTAGCCATCGCCCTCAAGCCCTTCAGAGCCGAGCAGTAGCGCAGCTCCCGGGTTCAGCATCTGGACAAATGCTCTGAACTGTAACGCAGGAGTCAAAGGAGGTCGGTAAAAGGATTATGAGGTGCTTCGGGATTAGCCACCAGAATAGAGTGCGGCTGCCCTGCACTTATATGACCACATCAATACGAAGATGAACATGACCAACGGCAAGAGAACGGCGTCACTCACCTCGCGACACTCAACAAGTCGAAACGGAAGGTCAGCTGCCGCAAATAGCTGCACCAATCCCTCGCGCAGCTGCTGGCCATGAACACGCGGCGTGACGAATGCGGCCATGCTCATCTGCCTACTCCCACCAACCTCGGATCCGCCAGTCACTGCCCTGTCTGGTGTCTGTACAATCCTGGGCCACGTGGCTGCATGCTCCCAAGGCCACGCTGTCTGGTCGGGGACATCCGGACCCCATCCCCCATCGGGAAACGTCAGGTTGTCTGGCTTGTTTGGATCCTTGAAACGCCGACACCAGATCTGCAGACTGGGGTAGTGGCTCCTCTTGAGGTGTCTCTTCCCCGTGCTCGTGCAACAACCTTTCCAGCTAATCTTCTTCTTGCAAATCTTGCAATTCCTAGCCTCTTTCACATCCTTCTCACTGAACATACCACGAACTAGCCCGGGTTCTGCATTCCTAAGCACCTCCTCAGTCCATGGGTCCAGCTCCTCATCGGTAGGGGTCCTGCCCGCCCTGTCGGACCTCTGGCTTGCTACAGCCCCCGCAGACCCACCCAAAGGTGCAACACCTGCCGCAGCGGTGGAGGTACCTGCCCCTGCTGCGCCCGACCCCTCAGAACCACCCGCGGCCGCGGCTGCCCCCTGCGGCTGCGAATTCAACGCCGGCCCGGCCCCTCCAGCTCCCGACCCCTCAAGCCCACTCGTGCGTGGCCTCTTTGCTGCTGCACCGCTGGCACCAGCCTGGCCCCCTCCTCTCCCTCCCCAACCCTCATCACCCGATCCTCCACTCGTGCCGGCCGCCTCCCCCGGAGCCGGCCTCCAATCCGGGTCCTTCTCCTTTCCCCGTGTTCCTTGCTCCTCCATCACTGGGCCAGGTCCTTGAGACTCCCATTCCCGCACCTCTTCACGCCTCCTCGTCGCGATTGCATCGTCCCACCCAATTTCCTGCCCATTGAAGACGCTCCCCAAGCGAAAACTGGCCCTGGAGGCCGGTGTCGGGAGGCCTCCAAGCGAAGCCCCAGGAATAGCGCGTGAGCTGTCTTCTTCCCCCTCCATTCGCGTGCAAGCGGCGTCTATTACGTTTTGGACCTTGGAGTCGCTACGTTTTTGTAATGGCGCAGGCCTAGACAATTGGGGGTCGCGTCCCTAAAGATGCGGGCGTGGTAGGCGCGCAGTGGGCGATTTGAACGCGGGGCCAGAGTTTACACGCGTAAGAGAGCTAGGAATAACTAAGTTTTTAAAATCGAAAATCTGTGGTTGGTCGCGCTAGGCTAAGAAGTCCATTCCGCCAACATTTAAACACTTGAAATAGGGTTCCTAAACATGGGCGCTGGTTTAGAGAGGTCTTGAGCTTGAGAACGAGCTATTGCTAGTTGCCTAGGTATAGCAGATCGAACTCAATGTCGAGGGACCAAAAAACCCCAACACAATGACTTCGCGATCTGTTTAGGTTCGAATTGTCGAGGGAGAGAAACTCGGGTCGGGCATTTGGCCCGACCCGACTTAGGAGGCGGTACCCGATATCGAGTCGGGTCAAATGTCGGGTCAAAAACTGACCCGACCCGACCCGACCCGGTTTCGGGTGTCGGGTCGGCCCGACCCGGACGGGTAAACCCGACCCGACCCGCCCGGGTCAGCCCTTCAAAGTGCCTGACCCGACCCGGGTCAAAACCCGGGTCGGGTCGGGTCGGCCCGACCCGCCGGGCCAGGATGATCATGCCTACTCGACCAACACTGTAGGGGTGTTCTGATTGGTCGCGCTTTGCATTAGCATTGCGCGAAAATTGCGACACCCTCTGTATGCGAGAAAACACATTGTCAGTTGGCGCGAAAACAGTCCGCATGTGGCGAAACATGTAATCGTGTCGTCAAATGTTGAAATGCGCGACTCGGTTCAGACTGAATTCGCGGCTCGAGAAAAATCAACGAGCCGCATGTCGGAAATCGCCAGTGAAAACGGCAAGCAATTCCTATCCCCTTCAAAAATCCACTAATTATGAGTTACAACGATGGTTTCAAAGTTTCGGTCGAAAAAAACGGCCGTTTTTTTGCACCAGCACAAAATGACATGGTTTTACCGTTTTAAACCGTTTTTTACGACCCAAAACTACAATACCGTTTTTTGCGCCGAAATTTCATAGTTTCTTTGCACCTTGGTCATGAGTGCATTAGCCATGTTCATATGGCTGAACTAGGGCATGCACGGTCGGGCCAGCCTCTGTTGCAAACGGGCTGATTAGGGATGAGCAAGGTGGCGAACACCTGTTCGGTTGGCCTCAAACGTGTTCGAGGCGAACCGAAAAGGTTTTTTTTTTGGCTTAAAATGTTCGCCGAACAGTGTTCGATGTTCGCCCGAACACGTTCGTGTTCGGGCCGCCGCTGCAATTTGCCCGTGACGAACACGAACACTGTTCGAGGTTCGCCCGAACACTGTTCGAGGTTCGCCCGAACACGCCTTCACAGGCGAACGGCGAACACCATTTTTTGCTCAAAGTGTTCGCCGAACCGAACAGTGTTCGGTTCGGCAAACGAAGGTGTTCGTGTAGGGGCGAACACGAACACGTTCGTGTTCGCCACTTGCTCATCCCTAGGGCTGATTGTGCCCGGTCGTGCAGAACTTCTTGCATGTCCGGCACGATCGGGCCAGCCAGTTTGCAAGCACGGTCATCTCTCTGCATTGCATAAAGGGCATGCACTATGGCCAGTACTATGCTCTTTGCCAGATCCACACGGATCAAACCAGCGTATTGCCATCCTTGTGCAAATTAGTGGGCGACCCCCAGCCTGTCTCCTTGTAGCAGACCTCTCCATCACAGGCCGGCTTGCCAAATTCAGTATGTCTGTAAGCTTAGATATTTTAGTTTGGGGCTGTTTTGTTTTGTTTTGTTTTGTTTTTGTTTTTTGTTCATTTTGTTTAACAAAAACGGCTAGCTTAGGATTGATAAGAGGATTCCTGTTGTTGTTGTTTTTTTTTTTTTTTTTAAGGCCCCCTTAGGTTTGACCAAATATGAGGTCCAAGACGGGCATGTTTGAGGCCATGTCCACACAAATTCTACAGGCGAGATGCTCATTGTTATGGATTTGATTGGAAGAAACCGGTTGCAGCAAACTGGCATCTCCATGCGGATTTAACAGATTGTGGCGAGGCATACAAGCTCGCTCTGGCTCGATTGGTTTGCGTATCATAGATGAGCCACAGGCCTAATTAACTGCCCACTCATCTCGTCGGCCAGTCAGTTCATTGTGCATTGGAACGACTAAGCTGGTCATAGGCCTATGCTGAACCCCGCTATTCGTAGGAGCCTTGCATTTGTGAGTCATTTCCAACAGCTCCAAATGTTCATATGGCCGAGCTTGGACCCTCTAGTCATGATGTAGTTCAAATTGAATGGCGTGGGACAGCGTGGTTGGGCCAGCCTGTTTGGAACACGTTCCAGACTGCCCTTTATGCATGTACCGCTTGTCGATCTCAGCCTCGCAATTACTAGCCCGGCCTGTTGGGTCAGCTTGCTGCAGAAAATTCATGTACAATGACTAGTTGTATCATGGTCTGAGCCCACCAACTAGTCGCCTTGCTGCAGACCTCTGGCAAACTTGCTGTAGAACCGACCTACCATAGGCTGCCCCCCAGGCTCTGCGTTAGCGGGCTAGCTCAACCCAGCACCAGCCCGTGGTCATGCCTAGCATATATGCTCGTTCTCAAATCAAGTTGACTTGGTGTCGCCATCGCAGTCCCTCTAATTTCTGAACATGTGCGACGTCATGTTGGCTCTTCTTTCCTATTCCCTTCACGATACTCACAATGTCTCCAGGTTGCTCAGGCTACCGATGGTGGATGGAATAGACCCACTCAGAAAATTGTCGTTAAGATACCTAATGATAACGCATATAAAGGGTGTATGGGCGCACAGAAACAAATACAACAAGAAAAACATTACCTCAATTTTTGGACACATGAGTATGGCTGCATATAAGGCAGATACAATCAAACCGTTGCTACAGAGCGCATGAAAAGGGTGCCATGGAACTAATTAAAAAACTAGAACTGAACTAAAATGTAGGAGAGGGATGAGTGAACATGACATGCTGATATGTGATTTGTGATATAAGCTACATACTCTAGAAGGTGCCTCATTGTGAGCACACCAGAAAGAAGCTGCTGAGCTTTAACATCGAACTATTACACAATGCTGCAAGAAAAAACCACTACAATTAGTGAAAGCAAATGAAACCAATTGGGGTAGTCTTGAGTGTTGAACAACCAATTGGGGTAGTCATGACGCGTTACACACACACACTCAGTTTAGCAGTTATGGGTGGCTGCAAAAGTGGAAGATGCCACGACGAGATGTGAATGTGATCATAAGACGAGGTACCTAACCTAGTAGGTACCTCCAGGTGTTAGCGCAAACAGGGTTTCTACATTTCAACACTATGTGACAGATTTTTTTGAAGGGGCAACAGGAGATATCATAAGGGGTGGTGGTCCAAAATGCTACGCAAGCACACAAACACATAGAGCCAAAGAAGCAGTGAGGAGTGCAGCATGCAGACCGATGATGACCAATGGCCAAAGTGGATAACCGGTTGTACATATGGTACTTAAATGGTGAATAATGTGCCAGGGTAGCCAAATTTTAACATTTTGACACTAGATAATGAATGGACAGATTGACCAACCCTTCATATTATTGTCAATGTGCATAAAAATGCACATAACGTTGCCCTTGTATCTTACCGCCTGGATATTTCGGGACCATATAGTGAGGCTAATGTGGAGCATTTCGCAGCAAATCCTGCTCACCACTGTGAGTGGCGAGATGGACCGGCTCACAATGGTGAGAGGTCGCTGTGGGCACACAGGAGGAATGACTGCATCCTCTCTCCACCAGTTCAGCGGCACCTTACATCCCCAGTGGATTCGCATTCGCGCTGGTGCAGATACTCCCTCCTCATGCACAGCTTCGTGTGACTCCAATTTCAAACCACGATAGTTGGTCTCTAATGCTCCCACTACAGATTTGCGCACGCGTCTGCCCACTGATGCTGCCTCCCTTGGTCCCAGACGCACTCTTCCCTCCAGGGGTGAACATTACTCATTCACATTTCCTCCTATGACCCAGCTGCTGAGAATGATGCCATACCAGTAGGCATGATCATCCTGCCCCGGGTTTTGACCCAGGTCGGGTTAGGCATTTTGAAGCGCTGACCCGGCCGGGTTGGGTCGGGTTTACCCGGTCGGGTCGGGTCGACCCGACACCCGAAACCGGGTCGGGTCGGGTCGGGTCAGATTTAGACCCGAAGTCGTACCCGACCCGGTTTCGGGTACCGCGCCCTAAGTCGGGTCGAGTATTTGGCCTAGGGATGAGCAAGGTGGCGAACACCTGTTCGGTTCGCCTCGAACGTGTTCGAGGCGAACCGAACAGGTTTTGTTTTTTAGCTCAAATCGTTCGCCGAACAGTGTTCGATGTTCGCCCGAACACGTTCGTGTTCGGGCCGCTGCTGAAATTTGCCCGCGACGAACACGAACAGTGTTCGAGGTTCGCCCGAACACGCCTCCACAGGCGAACAGCGAACACCTGTTTTTTCCTAAACTGTTCGCCGAACCGAACAGTGTTCGGTTCGGCAAAAGAGGGTGTTCGACAAGGGGCGAAGACGAACATGTTCGTGTTCGCCCTTTGCTCATCCCTAATTTGGCCCAACCCGGCTTTTCCTCCCTCGACAAGTTGCACTAAAGCAGATCGCGAAGTCAATGTCTAGGGTTTGTTTGTTCCCTCGACATTGACATTCCCTCGACAAGTTGCACTAAAGCAGATCGCAAAGTCAATGTCTAAACCCTAGACCGGAGCTGCTGTAGTAATCCA